TCCTCCCCCCCTCTCACCTCCCCCCCCCCCTCCCCCCCCTCTCATGGTTACCCCTCCCCCCCTCCCCATCCTCCCCTACCCCGGTGCAAGGCGCTGTCCGTCTTATTGCCGTCCGTACCGTCCGCGTCGCAGGTGTACCCGAGGTACCCCGACGACGCCGCCGAGCAGCTCGAGTCCTGAGCCGCCCGGGCCGGCCGCGGCGCCACGGCGCCTCGGACCTCCCGGCGCCTCGAATGACACGGTCGCGGCCAGTGTCATCGCCACCACCACAAACACCATCATGATCACCACCACCGCCCATCATCATCATCATCATCTCATCATCATCACATCATCATCATCATCATCATCATCATCATCATCAGCATCATCATCATCATCATCATCATCATCATCATCATCATCATCATCAGCATCATCATCATCATCATCATCAGCATCATCATCATTATCATCATCAGCATCGTCATCATCATCATCAGTATGATCATCAGCAGCAGCGGCAGAATCAGCATCAGACTCATCATCACTATCACCATCCGCATCATCAGCATCAGCATCATCAGCAGCAGCATCATCATCATAATCATCACCACCATCAGCAGCAGCATCAGCATCAGCATCATCACCATCATCAGTATGATCATCAACGTCATCCTCATCATCAGCAGCATCATAATCATCAGCATCATCATCACCATCATCATCAGCATCATCACCATCATCATCAGCATCAGCATCAGCATCATCGTCATCATCATCATCATCATCATCATCATCATCATCATCATTGACATCATCATCATCATAATCATCATCATCATCATCATCATCATCATCATCATCATCACCAGCGGCAGCTGCATGAGCATCAGCATCATCATCGTCAACGTCCGTCATACTTCCATCGGCCAGCCCTCGTCTCCTTCTAGCCCTCGAGGCGTGTATCGCACCGACTTCGCGAATCCAGTGTCACTGCGTGTTGCCACATGCACACCCAACGTACAAGCATCTGATCATACATCCACATATTCACAGTCACGCGCCTGCCTATGTTTACACGTACATGCCGCATAGACCACCATTTGGGTGATAAGGATATTGGGGTGGCATAATATTTGATCCGCATTGGACGCATACTACAACTCACAAGTGGCAACATAGCAGAACGTCAGTCTTGATGTTCACTCTGCCCTATATGTATACAGATGTCCCTTTGATGTATAACTCGAATAGAGATAGTGGTACGTCTGCACGTAGTTGAATATGCATGTGCATCTTCACGTACGTCGCCTGTCTCACCGTTCGCCTGTCAACCGATCTCACTCTCTGTCTATCGGGGCAACCGTCCGGAGAACCTTCGGGACAACGATTCTTAGATCTCCATGCACATTCCCGAACTGGGCCTGGCTGGCGGTCCGGCAGCCCCGTACGCGTCGTCGCCTCCCGTCGTCGCCCCGTCGCCACCCGTCGTCTGGTCCCAGCTGGCGGTTAGGCGGTCCCGTGCTCGCCGTCGCCGCCCCGTCGCTGCCCCGTCGCCGCCCGTCGTCTGGTCCTGGCTGGCGGTCCGGCGGCGCCCCATCGCCGCCTCGTCGCCCACATAGATCGCACCGCGTAGCATGTCCTGCATAAGGTGTAGTTGGGATCGACCACCCCCCAAACCCCCCTGGCATTGCCGACCCCCCCTGGGAGAATGCAATGCACCAGCGATTCTGTCTTGTATCGCCCATTGAGAATAGGAGCCACTGTCACATCCCAAAGAGTGCCGTTGACTGCTTCCCTCATGCCTGTCAAATCCGCAGCCGTGCCTCGAAGCACGACGTGAAGTTACACCCAGACTCTCCTGTGTTCTCTGCTCTCTGTACTCAAAACCAGGGGATTCTAGTATTCTTTGGGCTGGGGGCCCCAAATTCTCAAATTGCCTGGACGTTCCCGCAAGCTCCTGGGCTGTCCCGCATGACTTGTCCAGAGGCCAGAGGGGCCCAAGAAACGCCCAAGAGGGTCCGAGGCCTCCCAGACAGCCCAAGAGCGCCCCAAAACGCCCAGGATGGCCCCAAGACCGCCCAAGAGCCCCAAAGAAGCCCACAAATCATCGTTTTGTTTCCTAGTAGTGTTCGATGTTGTTCGCGTTCTCGCGTTTTCAAGCTTCCGACGCCCCAAGATGGCCACAAAGGCCCCGATGACCGCAGCAAGACGGCCCAAGAGGCCCCCAAGAGGGCCCCATGAGGGTCCAAGAGGGCCCCAAAACTGCCCAAGAGGCGCCGAAGATCGCCCAAGGAGGCCCAAGCGGAGGAACACGAACCGACAAGCCTAGCTTTCCGCCCCAAGAGGCCCCCCAAAGGCCCCAAGAGGCCCCCAAGAGAGCCCAAGAGGCCCCCTAGACGCGCGACCGCGCCGATGGCACCAGACTAGCTGGCCGTTCTGCGCGCGAGCCTGCGCGCGTAAGTGCGGCCGCAGCGATGCGCCAGCCAGCGCCAAGCAGGCACCGCAATCGCCGCCGCATGAGTATTGCAAACAACGTTGCGGATGGGTAGGTGGGATGAGTGCGGGAGCAGTGGTCTTGACAACTTACTAGTGAGCAGTCGTGCGCTTCCCTTCTGTAAAATGTATGGGTTAATTCTCATTGTTTGTAACATTTTGATCTACCACTCCCACCCCCAACCCCCCGAATTCCCGCTTCCACTTTGGATAATACAACTTACATGTGATGATGCCTCAACGATCGCTTTAAATATGAATCCGTACCATCCGGTGGAATGCCCTTATCGACGGCCCCCTTTCTCCCCTGGCATATCCGCCGCACGGAGTGGGCGCGTCCTCAGGTCCTTTGCTGAATCCCGTGAACCTCAAGCCTGTCCTGAAAAATGTCCTGGGGGCTCGGACACCAAATTTGGCGCGTGCCCCATGGGATCCAGGAAGCGTTGTCGCGTGACTTGTTCGGGCCCTCGCGGGCCCCAAGACAGGTCCGGAGGGCCCCAAGAGGCTCCGAAGACGGTCCAGGAGGGCCCCGTGACGCCCCGAGAGAGCCCCAAGAGCCTCCCCAAGCCCGCGAGGCCAAAATCAAAGATCCCCAATGGTTTTTTCAATGATTTAGGGTCTTCGAGTTTTCGACTTCTCGACGCTCCAAGACGGCCCGGGAGGCCCCCAGGACCGCCCCAAGACGGCCCAAGAGGCCGCCAGGAGGGCCCCAACACGGCCCAAGAGAGCTCCAAAACGGCCCCAACACTGCCCAAGAGGGCTCCAAAACTGCCCCGGAGACGCCCAGGAGGGCCCAAAAGGGCCCAAAGACAGCCCTCAAAAGGGCCCCAGAGGGGAACACGAACCGAAAATTCGAGCCTTCTGCCCCAAGAAGCCCCCAGGACGCCCCAAGAGGCCCCCGCGAAGCCCCGAGAGACCCCCCCGCGAGGCCCCGAAGACTCCCGACAGGCTCAAAACGAGGCCCCCGAGAGGCCTCCCGCGACATCCCAACAGACACCCTGGAGGCCGATGGCCCACAGCCCAAGCACGGTGGCGGGATGGGCCTAAAGCCATTCGGTGGCACCATGCGCGCACATTCGTTCATCAAAATTCATATATGTTCCTGAACCTCGTGCGCAAGAGAAAACACAATCCACACGCGCGCGGCGTCGCGCGCCTGCCAAAAGTTATCAACAACCCTTGGTGTCGCCCGGATTTCGAAATCGAACTTCCCGAAAACAGATGAAACAGCAAACTACAAAAAATGCGTGCGCGCTCAACCACATTTTCACGATGACCATAAGTTCTTCAGCATGTGCATCAAAAGCGACCAAACGGGCCGTCCTCGCGCGCATGCTGGAATCCTTCGAACGCCCCTGTGACCGTTTTTTTCTCTGCCCCAGGTAACTGTCGTCACCCGGGGGGGAGTCGGGCGGGAGGGTAACGGTAACAGCGGCCGCGGCGAGCACCCGCCAGGGTGCGTCCGCGCCACCAGCGCATCAACCGCCTGTGCGCAGCACAGCATGTAGGGAGGGGTAAAGGCCCCCCCCTCCAGCATGATCGTTAACGGACCAAGGATCCCTAAGACTCCCCACATGCGGCCAACACAGCCTGAAGACGACTCAAATGAGCTCCATGAGAGCTCCTCAAGAAGTGAAGACGAAAGGTGTCACATATGAATGCCTTCCGCTTCTTCCTTCTCCTCCTCCTTCTCCTCCTCGTCCACCTCCTCATCCTGCTGCTCCTCCTCCCCCTCCTCTCCCTCTTCCTCCTCCTCCTCCTCCTCCTCCTCATCCTCCTCCTCCCCCTCCTGCTCCTCCTCTTGTTCATCCTGCACCTGCTCCTGCTCCTGCTCCTCCGCCTCCTCCTCGTCCTCCTCTCCCTCCTCCTCCCCCTCCTCCTCCCCCACCTCCTCCTCCTCCTCCTCCTCCTCCTCGCCCTTCTTCTCCTCCACCTCATCAGCATCATCAGCATCATCAGCATCAGCATCAGCATCAGCATCATCATCAGCATCATCATTCTCGTCCTCATCATCCTCACCCCGGCAAGTCCAAGCCTGGGGACACAAGGTGCCACACGATGCTGAGCTGGACCGACGACACACTATATTCGCAACACGTGAACACATTGCCGCATCGCCATGTCGTCGTGATGCCACAACTTGAGCCGAACTGCCCTCACAACGCGGCCACGACAACTGGCCAGCTCAGAAATAGGAAGGCATGGACACTTTCGCAGATTGAAGCCCACCGCGCAGACATCGTATATATCTCTTCTTTGGATATCAAGCGAGATCGAACGGACGCGGCGTCACATCACAACGACAAGAGCAAGCGACAGAGTGTGAAAGAGACAGAGGGTGCGCGGGGACAACGAGATCAGACACTGAGAGAGGGAGAGAGCGAAAGATAAAGAGAGGCAGAGAGTGATGAGGGGAAGCTGAGACAAGAGTAACAGAAGGAGAGCATGCAGTTCACCCTCCACCCGACCCCTCTCCGCGCAGGTCAACATGAGGCCAACAGCGGAGGCGATGTCTGCCTGGGTGGCGAGCCAAGCGATACCAGACCGCGACCGCCCATCCCCCTGAGCGGCGCGTCGCCCACCTACCTACGTTCGGATGCGGCCAAGAGGGGGGCGTCCAAGAGGGGGGGGGGGCGCAAATCATGGCCGGCGGCACGTGCGCGGCCCAGGGGGGGCTGGGGACGCAATGAAATAAGAAGAGCCGCCATGAAAAACATGGGGAGGTATCATGGCCCACGCCGTGATATCCATCCCCCCACTAGTCGCCACCCCCCTCGTGGCCGCCCCCGATACGCACATCCGTCCGCGTGAACCCCTCTGTTCGCCCCCCCCCCTTCGTCCATCTCCTCTCTTACTCTTCTCCACATCATCCTCGTCCCCACTCCTCCATGATCTCTCCCACCCATAGCATGACAAGCACAATCAATTAACATGAGACGTGCCCAAACCTTGTTTATCAAGTGACAGGATGCGTTGTCCCGAATAGGTGAGTGATGGCAACGCCAGGACCGTCATATGCTATGCAAGCTACATGGGATGCGCGCCCGTCGCACGACCCACAGGACAGCAACAAAAGAACAGAAGAGGAAGGCGGCGGTCGAAGGGCGGACGAGGAGCCGAGCTCTTCGGCTCAGAAGAGGGACAGTAGAAAGACGGACGAGGGGCCGAACAGCCAAAGCGCGGCAGCGGCAGGGACACGGTGGAAAGGGGACAGAGGACAACGACGAAGGATGCCGGATGAGAAAGGAAGGTAACACGGTTTCTTTGGGCACGCTGGCAAGCAGCGCAGCCCGCGCCACTTCGCGATTGCGTTGCGACGGATGAGCTGTGCAAGACGACTGCAGCTCGCCGAGCTCGCCCGCCCGCCGGCCTCTCCGCTCCCGCCCTGCACTTCGTTCCACGCTGGAAGAGGAGGAGGAGGAGGAGAAGGATGCCCCTTTCCCGCAGGCGCGCCGCCAGGTCTGCGGGCGGCCCGCGGGAAAGGGGCCTCGAGACCCGGGTCGCCTCGCTCCGCTGGACCTCCCAGAATACCGCGGCAGCGGCGGCAGCCTCGCAGCTCGCAGCTCCCAGCGACGACGGAGCCCCATCTGGTGCGCGTGAAACGCCACTCCGCTGGAACCCCCAGCACCCGTCGAAGGTGGCGACAGACTCGCAGTTCGCAGCCCCCCAGCGACGGAGACGTCCAGCCCTAGTTCGCGTGGGGACGTTACCGCGCTGGACCCACCAACAGCCCTCGAACATGGAAACAGCTTCGCAGTCCGCACCCCCCAGCGACGGCGAGGTCCCGAAGGTGACATATACACAAATTGAGGGAGGGAAAAATAATGATCACGTCAGTTCACTAAGTGGGACACGAAGAGAAGAGGGAGGGAGGGAGAGGGAGAGGGAGAGAGAGAGAGAGAGAGCGAGAGACAGAAAGAGAGAGAGAGAGAAGAAAAACAACAAAAAAGAGGGGCAGGGATGTGGGGAGAGAGGGGAGAGAGAGCACAATAACAAACTTCGTTTGTACAACTGTACACGTGAAGGCACATATCAAGTACCCCGCCCTCTCGCTATCCCGCATCCGTCTACAACCTCCCTCCTTTTCTACCCTTCCCCCTCCTTCGCATCCCCCCACCAACACCAACGCATCAGCCCCATCCTCATCCGCACCACCATCGTCCTCATCATCATCAGCATCAGCATCAGCATAATCATCAGCATCATCAGTCAGCATCGTCATCATCATAGCCATCATCAGCCTCAGCAGCAGCATCATCAGCATCATCACCATCATCAGCATCACCATGATTAGCATCGTCATCATCATCATAACCACCACCGGCGTCACCATTACCATCATCATCAGCATCGGCGTGGTCATCATCGTCATCATCGGCATCGAGTCCACCGTCGTCACTACCGCCAAGCGCATCGTCAACAGCGTCGTCGCCATCATCAACATCATGATCATCAGCTTGATCGTTCGCGACATTATCAGCCTCGTCATCTGCAGCATCCTCGCCAGCATCACTAGCAGTATCACCAATATCACCCCCATGACCATCATCATAATCACCGCCACCACCACCAATATGACCATCACCGCCAACATCGGCAACGTCGTCAATACATCCATCATCACCAGGAGCAGCATCATCATCAGCATCAGCATCATCAGCATCATCATCATCATCAGCATCGTGGGCACTGTCATCGCCATGTCACTATCAAAAGCATTAGCGTCAGCATCATCACCGTCAGCATCAGCATCACGAGCGTCAGCAGCATCATCAGCATCGGCACCATAATCAGCATGAGTGTCATCATCAACGGAATCGTCAACATCAGCACCGTCAACCCCATCGCCATCAGCACAACCAGCATCGACATCATCGCAATAAGCCGCAGTATCATTATTAGCAGACGGATAATCACCATCGCAATCATGATCGAGATCGCCTTCATGATCAGCAGCTTGGCCATTAGTCCTATCGCCACCACCACCAATATCAACATCGTCATCGTCATACGCAGCATACT